CCACCTCCACCCCCACCCTTCCTCCTCACCCCCCCCCATTTCCAGGGCAATAGCACTTGAAACTCCCAAGTTTATCCGCACATTCCATTGGCAAATCTCTCACATAGAGGAAAGGAGAAGTGTTTCTGACCTTTGTCACAGAGAGGCAAAGAATAGACACGAAGCTCAGCTCGGAGCTCAAGCCTACAAATGAGAGAAGTCTGAGTCTGAGAACAGGAGGGGGCCATGGAAGCAGCGGCTAAGATGGGACAAGGTCCCAAAGGAGGCGAGAGGAGAGGCAGTGAGAGACGGGCATGGAGGGAGCTGCTCTGGGGAGCACAGGCCATAGTAGAAGTCGTAGGAACACATTGGAAATCTGGGCTGGGGGCTCCTTGGCCTTACACAGTGAGCAGTGGTCCTGGTGGTGGGAGGGGAGGGGAGGTGGAGGGGCCATGGGTTCGGATTGGTAAGAGGAATGAGATGACTTTTCATCGGCGTGTGAGAAAAACCAGGGTGGGGAGAGAGAGTGAAGGCCCAGAGCTCTCTGCACAGCTCAGGTGCCCAGGAGCTCAACTGGGATCAGAGGGTGAGCACACTCCACCATTTCCTTCTGACACCTCCAGTCCCTCAGGGCACCCTCAGCTTCCAACAGAGCTAATGTGGAAAGGGGCAGATAGGAGAAACCTATTAGTAGAACCAGAATAGTTAGGTGTGGGAGAATAGAATGGGGAGGAGCAGGAGCCGAAGCCCAGAGAAGGTTCCTCTGCCTACCCCTTTCTGCTCCTGGAGAGCCACAGGCTGGCTGTCCTGCCACCAGGCTCCCCTCCTCCTGGAACTGCCAGGCACTGCGTGCTCACTGTGTCTGGGAACACTCCACTTGTGATACATCTTAGGTCCTTAGAGAAACTTACAATATGAGAGGATTTCATACTGCAAAAAATCATGGAAAAGGGTGCTGGTGGCATGGTAGTTAAGACTCTGGACTTCCATAAAAAATCGTGGAAAATGGTGCTGGTGGCGTGGTAGTTAAGACTCTGGACTTCCACATAGTCCACTGCAGTTCAAGTCCCAGACGTGGCAGTTTGCTTTCTCACTTTTCCTTTCTCTCTCTGTCTCTCTCTGATCAAATTTAAAAATAATAATAAATAATTTTTTTAATTGTGAAAAAGTGGAATTTATGTATGGAAGTGATTAACAAAATACCTCAACTGAATCAACAATACATGGAAAAGTGGAATTTATGTATGGAAGCAATTAACAAAATACCTCAACTGAATCAACAATATTTTATTGGCTTGCTGATTCATTGACAGCAGCAGTCTTGGGGTGAAGTGGCAAGACAGAGAAAACATTTAAGATGGGATGAACATGGTTTTTATATTAGCCTTGCCCTGGGCTCCCAGGGTGAATCCCGGGTCTGCCCTCCCTGGACAGAGGCAGATCAGCACCTCTGATCTATAACTAGACACTCTGCTGGAAGGAAAATGGAGACCCAGGAGAGAAGGGCCAAAAGAGAAAACGCGCAGCCCTGGTGTGGCCACTGTACTCAGCCCAGGAGAGGCCTGTGCAGGGAGCTGGTGAGTGTGGGGTTGTCAGAGCCCTGGAGGAGTGGTGCCCACCACTGTCCACTCACTGTCCACAGAGATGTACGTCTACCAGAGGAGGAGCGACTGCTTCGAGTTCAATGGGACACACCGCTTCTTGGAGAGATACGTTTACAACAGAGAGGTGTATGTCCAGTTCGACAGCGCCGTGGGGTCGTTCACGGCTGAGACTCAGCTGGGGGAGATAACAGCCCAGAAGTGGAACCGATGGAAGGGGTTCCTGGAGCTGAGACGGAGCGCGGTAGACACAGTGTGCAGACACAACTACGAGCTAGATGAGGGTTTCACCCTGAAGCGCAGAGGTGAGGGGGCAGAAGGAGGAGAGGAGACCCTGGAAGGGGTGGATCAGGGGCTGGAGAGGAAGGAAGTCCCAGAGTGTCGCAGACGGGGCGCCCTGAACCCAGAGAGACTCACGGTGCCTGGGAGGCCAGGTCAGCATGGGAACGGGTCTGACTCCCACTAACCAAACAGAAAAGGGCTAAGGACACTGGATGGGGGTGGGGCAAGTAGGAGAGGGCAGGAGACAGATAAGCGAGGAATAAATTAAAACAGCCAGCGCAAAGGTGAAGGGAGCCGGACCCCACATGGCCCACCATGCCCTGGCCTGACAGCTTGAAAACACAGGTCAGGCATGTGTGTGCGTGCCCCAAGCCCCAAAAGGATGGAGAAATGGAGAAGAGAGGAGGATGGTGCCATGACCACAGCCCACTGGGGAGTGTTCCTTGCTCTCTCTCTCTCTCTCTCGCTGGAAAAAACATATTTCCTCTGGCAATTAAAAAAAACTATTTCATTTCTTCTTCTCTTTATTAAATAAGGATATCAGACTGAAAGATCAAAGGAATGTTACTCAGAAGGTGTTCTGATTCTAAGATAATATCTGGGGGACATACATTATAAATAACAAAGCCGTTCTTATTAGATTTAAATGTTTTATTCTATCTTCCTATACTATTCCCCAGTTCACTCTCAAAATAGGTTAACAGATGATATATTTATTCAAAGCATCTAGAAATCAATTTCCTTAGGAAAATACAGCCCAGCTTTAGCTGTCTCCATTGCCATAGCACAGTTCTTTCGTCCACTTAGTCCAACCGAGAGTGAACGTCTCCCCCTCCAAGAAGAGGCCCCTGCAGCACCACAACCTGCTCGTCTGCCACGTGACAGATTTCTACCCGGGTGACATTCGAGTCCGGTGGTTCCTGAATGGAAAGGAGGAAACAGATGGGGTCGTGTCCACCAACCTGATCCGTAACGGAGACTGGACCTACCAGATCCTGGTGGTGCTGGAAACGATCCCCCAGCAGGGAGACGTCTACACCTGCCACGTGGAGCACCCCAGCCTGGACAGGCCTGTCACCGTGGAGTGGAGTGAGTAACTCCCCAGTCACCCTCTGGACTCCAGGCTCTGAGGTCCACTCATTTTGTCTTGTGCCCTATATATTGGGGTTACGTCACCCCAGGTTTTCTTTCTTTTTTTTTTCACCCTAGCTATAGAGTACATGCCAGAGAAAGAGATAAAGCACCCCCCAGTGGGACGTGGTCATGCTGTGATCCTCTTTCCTCCTCTTCTCCATCCCTTCTGTGTTTTGCCGCACAAGCACATGCAGCCAGCATGTTTTCCAAGTCACCAGGACCAGGATTTGAACTGCAGTAGGTCCTGTGAGATTCAGCTCCTAATGCACAGCACTTAACCACTGTGCTACAGGCTGCCTCTCCACCACCACCACCACCTCCACCACCAGCAGCACCACCACCACTTCCTCCTCTGTATTTTTCTTAATCAAATCCCTGACTGTGGTCTGGGCTGGGAGCAGTGGAGGCCAGGTGATCACAGTGTGGGTTTTTGTCCTTGACCTGAGAGAGTCCTAAAGAATCTCTCCCCGTCAGAGAGTCTCAGAAAGATGATGACCTTCCTGACTGGCCCTCAGACATGGGAACTGGCCTCTCCCTTCAGCCCATGAGCACGGATTTCGTGGACCGACCGGGGGTCGGGGGACAGCCTCTTGTGGAAGTCACCAGAACCGAGACCCAGAACTCGAGTGCTTTCCACATCTACCTTCCCACACTGGGCCCAGGCTCGGCCTCGTGGTCTCCCTTTGACCCGGTCAGGCTCCAGGATGTCAGGCAGGGCAGGTAGAGGTGAGGCTGACCTGGGGCTGTCTCCACAGAGGCACAGTCTGATTCTGCTCGGACCAAGATGCTGACTGGAGTCGGGGGCTTTGTGCTGGGGCTCACATCCCTGGTAGCAAGCTTCGTTCTCCATCTTAGAAACCAGCGAGGTAAGAAAACTTCCGGAAAGCATTGGTATCACCTTCCCACTGTCTTGTCTTCTCTTCTACTGTGATAAAGCTGAGGCAGAAAAAGCAAAACCACAGAGCAAAGAGGACACTAAAAATATATTCTAATAAGGCAAAGCAAGCCTTAGAGGGAGAATCTCACTCCAGTCACAGTGTCCAGGCACAGTGAAATTCCCGATGCTAGTTACCTGTCCTGCAGGGTGTTCATGTAAGGTTACCTGTCCTGCAGAAGGTTCTGTTAAGTCTACAGACTGGCCCCTGCTTGACCTCCCAGGGGTGCAGTGCTTGTACAATTTCCCAAGATGTGGTTGCTCTTCATTCTCCCAGTGACTAAATACGTCTCCCCCCGCCCCATTTCAGGACGACGACAACAATAGCAGCCATTAGGTGAGGTTTCTGCTCCCTTCTTCTCTCTGGGGATGTAGTTCACTTCATGGTGTCATGATTTGGGGGCATTTACGCGTATGCTATATTCACGATGTTGTAGGAAATGCCCCGGTAACGAGGAGAGACTCCCCAGGGCTATTTATTTTTTTCAAGTCGGGCCACATCGCCTCCAACGTGTCTCATTTTCGGCTACGAGTGGGGTTAAGCAGTGAACATTTCTTGGTCTTGTTGCTGAAGGGAACCCCAGAAACACTCTTCTGTGACTCATCAGGCCAGCACTCAGCCTTCCTGGGTAGTGTCTTGTCTCCTGGGACTGTAGGGGGAACAGCGGCACGGCCCTGAGCTTAAGTTGTGTTTCTGTTCTGTTCTTCCCCTTTCTTCAGCCTCACAGGGGTCCTGAGCCGATCCCAGACATCATGCGTCCCTCGGAGCAAGTACGTCTGATACACCTGTTGTTCTGCAGCTTCCGGCCTGGAACCTCCGGCTCCCAGATGGGCATGTGACCGGGCTGTGCCTCAACGCCAGCTCTAAGTCTGCGTTTCCACCGAATGTATTTCTCTTTCCCACCTTGTCTAACTATCATGTCTTTCCAGAGGAACATAAATTACTGCAATCTGACATCACTGTCTGCCTTTCTTCTTGAGCAGAAGGAGATGGTCACATGCCATGTTTATGTCTGAAGGGTTTGGTGACATCAGGTCACGTGAAGAGCCCGGGGATGCGTCATGGTTGTCTGGCCCAGGAACGGACAGATACGCTCTGTGATGTGCTCAAGTGCCCGTGTTGAACAGGAGGGCAAGCCATCGGGGACCTCCTAAAATCAGCCGTATTTCACCAAAGAAGCCCAGGTTCATGTC